TTCTTCTAGCATTTCGCATGGAGTTTTAAAGGGACAGAATACTCCACAACCCTGACTGAATTTCAGAGTCTCTCTCACTCTGAAAAGCAAAATGCTACTAATCACCACCCTTAATTTTCTTCTCTTCCTGCACTCTCCCCTTCCCTCCTAATTTGTCCCTCAAAGCAACCTGGGCCTAGGTTTATTAGCCTCCAGGTGGGCTTTGGAGAACTCCCAGAATTACAATGGCTTTCCAGACAACAGAGATCAGTTCCCCTGGAGAAAATCACAGCTTTGGAAGGTGGACTATATGCCTTTATACCCAGCTGTGGTCCTTCCCCAACTCCTCCCTCTTCAAGCTCTACCCCCAAATCTCCAGGAATTTCTCAGCCCGGGGCTGGCAGCCATACCTGGGGCCCAGACTGGATTGCCCTTTTTGGATCTCAGTTCTATTGAAGACTAGCCTGCTACCCGTGCTTCGCTACAGTATTTAAGTTCTGTAAATCCAGTTATAATACTGATGATGTGAAATTTGAAATGTGACATTTGCTGTAGGAATTCTAACAGAGAAGATTGTAGTGTAAGAAATGAAGTGAGACATACGTACTTTTTAAAATCTCTACTGAAGGACCTCTCTCTAGACCACATTGGTGGTTCTGCCCTCAGGTGTTAGGATCACCAAGCTGCTTGATGAGCTCACTCTGGAGCAGGCCACATAGAACTGTCCACATAAGAAGTAGTCGTCTGTTAAGTCAACTCCTGCCACCTTCCACGAAAGTGATGGCCTCTCTACTTGTGTTCCTGGATTGTTTTGCTCATATGGAGACTGTGTTGTTCTGAGCACCTCAGGGTGATCTTGCTGGTACTTGGCCTGTGCAGCTCAGTGCACTGCAGGAGTAATATGTGCAAATGTCTTTGCCGCATTCCTAAGTTGCCTCCTCCTTGTAGCGTTGGTGTATCTGGCTTGACATTTGCCAGGAACTTTCTTGGGGGCAGTAAAGGGTGAGAGGTGTGAGGGGGAGTTGGTGTGAGGGAGTGGTGATGTGGTGGACATTTCTTAAGGTTCATGAGGGAGGCACGCATCGAAATGGCTCCTAGAGATGTCCTTTTCTATCTTCCCATAAACATCATCCCACCTCCTCTCCTACACCTGACAGGCAGCTGCCTGTCCAGTGTAGGACAGGGAGAGGGGAGGAGTATTAGAAGCCACTGTGGAGGCAGGGCTGGCAGGATCTCTAAGGCATTACTGCTGGGGTAGGCTCCCTTGTGGCTTTAAGTACCCTGCAACCACTGCTGCACCTGACAGACAACCGCCTGTTAGGTATAGGAGGTGGGGGGAGTGTGTTGGAAGCCATTCCACCTCTTCTCCTACACCTGACAGGCAGCTGCCTGTCCAGTGTGGGAGGGGGAGGAGTATTAAAAGTCATTGTGGAGGTGGGGCTGCACCTGACAGACAACCACCTGTTAGGTGTAGGAGGTGAGGGGAGTGTGTTGGAAACCATCAGAGAGGCTGGGCCAGCAGCTTTGCTTCACCTCACAGGTGGTTCTTGGCCACTCCTGATTTCCTCAACTGTCCTTAGCTCTCTGCAGTCCCCTGTAACTATTGGGGTTTTTTACCTCAGAACACTGAGCTCTGCAGCTGACCAATCAGAGAGTGGGGAGTGCAGAGAGGCAGCTGCCTGGCAGCCGCATAGGAATCAATGGGGGGAGCACATTTCCCCCCTTTTGACCCACTTAGGGGTCGAATTTCTAAAAATCCCTTCTTAGTGAGCACCTACGCCACTGTAGGAGCGCTCTCCCCAAATTTGCTGTCTCTAGGTCCAGCAGTTTGGCCTGGGCGTTGATTTTACGGTGAGGGGACTTTCTTTTATATATATAGATGACCAGACAGATGAACAAATGCAGTGGAGTGGGTCAGAAGGGGCTGGGTTTGCCATACATACCTTGACGCAGACTCTTTCCAAGAAAGAGAGCCCTCATTCTGATATTGTGGTGGCAAATTTAAGGCCAGTTCATAAACTACCATAGAAGAAGGCAAAGAAGTGAGTGACACATGGCTGCTCCTTGCCCATATTTCCACTGTAGTGTGCAAAATGCAATTTGATGAGGTCTCTCAAGGTCTGTTGCTTGGGTGGCTTTATAAAGGATTAGGCAAATTCATGAAGAATAGGTGGTTCTACATATTCAGAGGCATTAGATACCTAGTGTGCTGGGGACAAGCAACAGGAGACGATCATCTCCATCTTGTTCTGCTTATGAGTTTTTCCAGAGGCCTACAGCTGGCTATGGAGGGAGACAGCTGCTAGACTATCCAGTGTGTTGTAGGAACCAGTGGAGACCTGGGTTCAAATACCCACTCAACTATGAAACTCTCTGGATGATCTTGGAGCAATCTCCCCCCCCACCCCCCGAAACTAGAAACATGTGTTCTTCTGAGCTCTGTGGAAGATGAGTGGGATAAAAATGGGACAGATAAGACTAGATAGGTATTTACTATTTATTTAATTGTATATATGCTGATTTTCTCCCCAAAGGGACCCAAAGCAACTTACAACAAAACACACACAATATAAATAAACCAATAAGCCAAGGAAATAACACTAGACATTTCCAGTCTTGGGCCAGTTCTGAGATCAGCAGCTTTGGCCATGCCTAGCCCTTATACCCGCAGACATAGAGGAAACAGAAACAGCTGATATGACGTGTAGCTGACAAGATGTTCTCTAACAACGGTTCCCTTCCCAGTCTTCTGATCCTGCATGGGTGGGAGGGTTGTCCTTGAAGAACCAGAGAAGAGGGCTGTAGCTTGGTTCTCATATTTCTGCCTGCACCCTCAACTGTGTTACAGAGGAAAACACGGCCCCCCATACCCTTGATTTACCTTAAGGAAATAAGGAGTTCACACTATGACACTGAGCTGTTTCCATGGGTCCTAGTACTATGCTTTCCCAAGGAACCATTGAAATGTTAGCCACAAAATAACAAGCTGTTATGTCCTGGGTTTCTGTAGAACTTGAGTGCCACTGTTCAGAAAACTGGCTATGGTTACAGCCCAACTCCTCGATATTTAGGATTCAGGATAGACAAGGTTGTGAAATTTAATTCTCAGGTTAGGGTTAGGGTTAGTATTGTGCCAGCAAAACAGACAAGCTTGCCAATAGGCCTCTGGTTATAGGAACACAATAGCAGCCCTGTCTCACTCGCACACCATCATTTCTTTTCTGTGCCTCCATTCACTGCTCATTCACTCATCTGGTATCTTCCCTGTCCCTTCAACAAATCATTTCTTGCATCAAACTTGTCATCAGATGCCCATCTCCTTGTCTCCATGTGTTCCGTGAGACTCACACCCAGGCAAGTGTGCACAGAATTGCTGCTGGATGGCATTCTTTGTTTTTCCTGCTTGCAGTTGCTCTTTCCCATCTCTCTTTGGCCTGTAATATCCATGACTGGCTCTCAACCAAAGCCATGCTTGATTTATTCATTGCCTTTCACTGAAGGTCTTTTCTCCATATTTTCACCTAAATGTGACCTTATTAGTCTCTCCCTCAAGAATCACATTTGGTGTTCATTTAATTCGCTTCTACTCATTCTGCTGGAAGATACCATCATAACAACTTAAGACCATCTTGATAATGTAAGCACTTTATTGTTGATAATAATGTATTGGTTGATTTTATTGTTTTATTGGATTTTATGTATGGGCCTGTGCCCCTTGTAAGCCGCCCTGAGCCCGCTTGCGGGGAGGGCGGGGTAAAAATGCCTAAATAAATAAATAAATAAATAAATTCTCTTTTCTGGCTACTCCTACCACATTTTCTTGGGAAGTCATTCTTCCCAGACCATGGCCCCGGTCACACGGGCAGGAAAATGCGGGGCGAAGCGTGGCTGTTTGCCCCAGAGCAAAATAACGTGCGGCTGCGCGATCAGACGTCCCGTAGAGGTCCCGTCGAAGTCCCGTGGTTGGGGGGGAGGTGCCAATCACAGGACAATCTTGTGGCGCGGCAAAGAAGCGGCCTCTCTAGCAAAAGGCTCCGCAGGTTTAACCCCTTCCAGGGCTGCAGAGGAATGCAAACTGTGTCCTCCGTCCGGTCCCCTCAAGGAGGAGCTTCAGCCAGGCCGCCCTCCCGCCACGCCCCCCCTGCACCTCCCCCTCTGCCACCTGGTGCAGAGAGTTCCTCTCGAGCAGGCCGAGCCAGGAGTGTGGGTGGGGTACGGAAAAGAGGAGGGGGCTGTGTTGTTTGTTTTTAAACGAAATGTGCGCATGCGCCATTGGGTGCTTGTGCGCATCCCATGGAGACTCGGGGGGGGGAACTTTTTAGCGATGGGACATGGGTGGGCGCCGGATGCCACAACCTACCACCGGAAACGCGATCAGGTGCCCGCCCTTGCCCCGTGGTTTCCAGAAACTAGTACCTCGGAGGTGCTAGTTTTTTACCCCGCATCTTCGGCGGGAAGCCTCAGGTTTGCCACGGGCGCTCTACGCTTCCCAGATGTGGCGCTGTGATCGCGGCCAGAAAATCCACCTATCTTCCATCTCTGTAGCGTGGCTAATGCTCCGTGTGACCGCAGCCCATAATTAGCTTTATCTGGAAGTGCCTGCCCAGTAATCTCCACATTGACTCCAAATTTGCAATGTTAGGGGGACTAGATGGCAGAGCTAATTGTGTTTTCTGAGTGCATCAGATACAAGTTCACACATGTTGCATATTGGAGACTAAATTGGGGGGAAAATAGGAAAAAGTAAATAACATTTGATTGTGCTGTGCTTATCTACAGGCTGGGGAGTTAACTCCTTGTCTGCTGGACTGTGTTTGCTGGTATGCAGTCAAGACTTGTCTGCTATTTCTAATGAATACCAGAATGGTATACTGACATTTCCCCAGTAATTTAAAAGTGTTGTGCCTTTGCTTATTTGCAAAATCTTTTCTGGTTCTAAACTTTGACTGGAAGAACTGACAGGCCTTTGCAAAACAAATGTAGAGAACAATACAAAAAAGAGATCCTGTTATCTTCTACAGGTTGAGCATGAGAAATTCAAAAAGGAAGATGAAACCTTTAGGTTGAGTCAGATGAGGGGGCAACTGGACCGGTCTCTGAGCAGCCTACAACAGGAAATGGAGGACACCCTGAGGCAGAATGAACACTTGCAGGTCAGCTGGTCTCCCTAAATCACTTTGGAAGGTTACAGTGTGTTGCCCCATATGCTTTGTGGATAATACATCTCCCTGAATGTTATCAGAACACATTGTACTTTGCAAAGCCTGTTGCTATCCTGTGTCCAGGGTGAGAATTCATTGTCAGCAAACTAGTGTCTCCTCAGAAACCACCCCAATGACAACAGATGGGTGGGAAGCTGTAGTGGCAGGAACTTCTGCTGAACAGGCTCAATAGATAGTGGTGGTTTGCGAACGCGGAGCCATGTCCTGCAACTGTCAGACCCAGCACAGTTGTAGGTTGGCAACTGGAAAGAGTGGAACTATCTGGATCCAACATGCCCACTGTCCTGCAAGGGGGATGCCCTTTCAAGAGTAGAGGCCAGGGAGGTTCATGGGGTATACACAAATTATTATTACTGTTGTTGTTGTTTAGCATCGCATGTAGAATAGCCAGGAGATCCTTAGATTGTCTGGCAGCCAGAAGTAGTAGCGCTTGTAGCATTATGCACCACTAGGTGGCAAGCTAGACTTGTTTTTAAGGCGAGAGATGTTTCAGAGGTGTTGCCATTGCCTGCCTCTGTGTCACGACCCTGGAACTCTTTGGTGGTCGCCCATCCAAGCATTCCAAACCTGTTTAGCTTCTGAGATCTGGCTAGCCTGAGCTAACCGGGTCAGGGCGTGAGCTGTATGACCTTATTTAAACAGCCACGGAGGGTGTCTGATGAGGATACTCACCAGGCAGAGGTAAGGTAAGGTAAAGGAGCAGAGTAGTGTCCATTCCTCTTCCAGACTGAGGACAACAGGGCCAGGCCAAGCAGTCTGGTAGAGAGGAGGGGGAGCAGGGTGTGGTATACCCTTTCTCCTCTCTTACCTCAGGATCCTTCCAAGACTTTTACTCCAAGATAGAGCAACCCCACATCTGAGGCAAGGGTAGATCCTGTCCAAGCTCCCCCCCCCACCAAATCTCCAATGCCCTGCAAATTCATCCTTAGATCTAACAGCTTTCCACTTACCTTTGCCATCCTATAGAATGATGATAGGGCAAAATCTGCACTTCTTCACCTCTGCCTCATTGGTATCAAGCAAACCATCTGGAAGAGAAAGCTTAGCATCTTCAGTATTCTTAAAGCCACTGTTCCAGTCCTGTTGTGCTAAAAAAAAATGCTAACTCATTTTTAGCCTAAAACTGTGTACAAGGTAAGGTGAAATAAGAAACAAGAGGGAATAGGTGCTTTGAAGTTTCCTTGTGGACGATAAATATACTATGTGAAATACAAGGACAGAACAGTGATTTTTAAATGGGGATCATATGACCTCTGGAGAGGCAATCTACAAATTTTGGGTGACATTCAGAACTTTTGTGGGCAAATGGGAGTTATTTGGGAATTTAGGCAGCCCCTTCTCCCTACATGGCTTCTGACAGCCAGCAGACGAGAGTTGTTTTATATGGTTAACCCCATGGATGGGAGTTGCAGTGCTGGAGAGGTTGGGTTTCATTGTTTACCCCTTCCCAGTGTTTCTGCAATACGGAATATTTTGGTACTTGTAAGGAAAAAAGACAGACACAGTGTACATGTCTTTTTGCTCTACCAGGAGTATAAAAGCAGCCTCCACGTGGGCATTTTTGATCAAGGAAATATCAGGCTCAAGGTGGCTGCTTCTTAGGGCCAAATGGCACTTCCATGGATCGTTCCACCATTGTGTGTAGTTTGATGCTGTCCCCAGAGAACACAAGTTGCAATACTGCCAGTCATCTGTTCAGGGATCTGCAGAAATTATACAAAATTAGAAGGTGGGTTACCATCATCCACATTTGCGCAGGATGGAGAAAAGGAATGGGATATTATGTTGCTCTCCTTGTGCAATCAGCTGATACCCAATACAAAGCAGATCTCAGAGCTCCTGTGGATTCAGCTACTGCCAGAAATATTCAGGCTACCAGAACCACAGCTTAATGGAGCTGGGCAGTATTCTCATTCTAGGCCCAGATTGCAGAGCTGGAACGAACACATGCCCAGCGACTAATGGAGCTCACATCAAGGCATCAGCTGGACATGGAGCTGGAGACAGAGAGGCTGCACAGTGCTCAACTCCAGGCTGAACGCATGCTTGAGTCCCGGGAGAGAAACCACCGGCAGAGGGTGAAGGCCCTGGAGGAGCAGGTACAGTCAAGGAATGGTCTGGATGGCTCTTTTCAAATCCCACAGTGATGCCCCAGTCGGGTGGCTGGAACATACTGTGCAGTTAAATTCCCTGTATCAGGTTGCGGTCGTTATGAACCTGACATGAAATGTGGGGGGTTAGGACAAAAACTGGAGTGATGGCTGGTAAGCAGCGGTAAACTCCTCTGCTGTCTACTAGAAACAGACATGATTCATGTTGTAATCCACTGTGTTTGTACTTGTGCAGGTGAATGCTTTAAAAGATCAGCTGGACCAAGAAGTGAGGAGAAGACAAGCCTACATGAGCCAGATGCTACATACAGTCAAATGATTCAAACTTTTGACATTGTGCTCTGGTCTTGTGTGACCAGATGGATTGAGGTTCATAGCTCAGAACCAGCCTTC